GGGGTAGCTGTAGACACCCAATTTTGTCCGGATCTACAAAAGCAATGAAATGGACGTTTATTATCAAGGAAGAAGGCCTAAAAGCCCAAACAAGCTGGTTTTAGTAGCCAAGAATGGGCTATTTCAAAACTGGAAGGGGCCATTCCCAATTTGGCACGAGCTGTTCCAAGTTCCTAAAAGGACCTAAAATCCTAGTTTGGAATGGGTCGTTCCTAAACTAGAACGGGTCATTCCTAAACTGGAACGGGCCATTCCAAGTTCCTAAAAAAGGGCTAAAACCTAAGTTTAGAACGAGTCGTTCCTAAACTGGAACGGGTCGTTCCAAGTTACAAAAAATGCCTAAAACCCTTGTTTAGAACGGGTCGTTCCAGCATAGGCATTTATGTGTTAAACTCAACTCTGGAACGGGCCGTTCTGGTTTCAGAACGGGCTGTTCCAAGAAGCGAAATTAACACATAACGTACAGATCCAGAACGAGCCGTTCCAAATCTGGAACAGGCCGTTCTGGAAACTTTTTGACGTTTATAAATAGACGTCTTGGGCACAGTTCTCAGGGCCACAAAATTTCGTCCAAGACTCCTTAGAGCTCGAAATTTCTCTCTTTCTCTCTCTTTTTATATTTCTTGAGATTTTGTGAGGCATATTGTAGTGTGAAAGGTTGTCACAAAGCACCTAAAAGATCTCCATATTTGAAAATAAATAAATATTAATAAAGGGGATCTAATATTTAATTTATTAATTCTTATCACGTTAACTTCATCATAGGGTACCGATTGAGGGCGCTGTAGGGGTGCTTAATACCTTCCTTACATGTAACCGACCCTCGAACCCAATTCTGGTTATCAAGGTCATTATTAGATTTTTAAAAACCTTTTCTTTTTCCAATGTTTTGAGTAAAACATTGGTGGCGACTCCATGAACTCATTTTTCAAAACCATTAATTAAGGATTAGTCTGGTGTCCGGGCATTCGTTAATTGATGAGATTTTTGAAAGAATGTCTAAACTATAGGTCGCGAGATCGAAAATTTTCAGGTTGTGACAGATGGTGACTCCACTGGGAAAGCTTTAAGAGGGTCAGGCCCAAATAAATGATGAAGTTAATAAAATAAGAATAATAATTTAAATATTTTTCCTTTACCTTGTTTGTTTTCTTTGTTTGGCTTTGATATTTGTTTGCTTGTTTAAATTCTGCACATGCTTAAATTAACAACTGTACATGAAACATAGCACACAACAGTCCCCCTACACCTGAGCGCATGAGGGTATTACACATAGGGAGTGGTTGACATACGACTGGCCCAAGTTTGGCTTTGAAGCCTGCGAGCCTTGTCGAAAATCACACTCAAGGTGATAACCGGTTACTCTAGCCCGAAATATTGCGACAAACCTTAGAGTTTGCGAGTTAATGGTGACAGAGATACTAGGTCCCTATAATGGGGGCACCTTTGGGGCCTTAAGACCAGTGAGATTAGAACATTAGCATAAAATCATCATATAAGATAGTTTGTTTAAAAAGAAAACAAAAAAAAAAAAATATAGCAAAAATCATGCATCATAACCTTTAGTAAAAAAACATGATAAAATTTAGGTAGAAAATAAATATCATGCATCTCCTAGGATAGTACATTAGAGACGAAAGGCATATATAATAGTATGCAAAGAATGTTCTCTAAACAAAAATCAATGAGAATGATATTCATTGAATTTCTCAAGTGTCTTTGCATCCTATTTTAGGTTTCATATAGATAACAGGCCTTCCTTGTAAATAATAAATAAGAATAAAAAGGGAAACATAATCTATGTGTGTTAACCTTATAATGGAAATTACTGTAATCAAGTGCGAACCTGACACATCAAATCGGGGAACACTTATCAGTAATTGGGGGCATCACACGCCCAAATCGACAATTCAAACATCGAGACTTTCCCATGCAAAAACGACAATTGTCGGGATAGGAGGAATGACCAAGAATGGACGAATCCTTGCTTCTAGGGAATTACAATACAAAACTTAATTGAAGAATAAAGGCATTGCATGATGAGGACCTGCTAGGACAAAAACTCGCATGGGGCATTTTAGGCAAAAATTAGGGCAAAGAAAAAAGAATCAAAATCCCAATAGGATATGTCCTATGCAAAAGTTAGGGATGTATAAAAATAAAAAAAATGCCTGGCTGAGTTGAAAACTAAAAGGCGACTCGAGTATTCCCTTTAGAAAGCAAGAGTTCATAAAGGTTTCACTCCAAATTCAAAATACCGGCGTTCAAGCAAGTGGGAATGTGTTCCTAAAGTAGTCTGACCAATCATCAACCATGACTCTTTAGGGGGCAACCTCCGTCTATCTCTCTGTGTAAGAATCACGAACTCGGGGCACGCACGGACCTTCGAGCTTTGCTAAAAGGGGCACGTGTAAATTGAAAGTATTGTTTTAAACACCATAACACTATTTCATTTCTCTTCTCCCTTTAAATATTCACTCTAGGCCTCATCCATCAACCCTTAATAAACAAAATGTATTTGTGACAAAGATGACAAAGGAACAATCAAGAATCCAAACATGACTAGGGTTTAATAAAAATAGGGCATCCCACATAAATGCTGCAAAAATGAAAGCCTAGCAGAAACCCACTAAGGGGGCTGGGCAAAATTAGGGCAAGATCCGTTAAGGGACCCACAATCAAAAAGGGTAACCTAGGCAAAAGTAAGGATCAAAAGAAAAATGTCTGCTAGGGAACACATCTCAAGTGACCTAGGCAAAAGTTAGGACGTTAAAGCAGCAACCTGAGTTGAAAACCGAAAGGCGGCTCAGGGGAATCATCCAATCAGAGTACGACCCGAAGTCATCACTCCAATTTCCAGAAAGGCTAAAACACAATGATAGCTTCTTTGTAGAAAATATGCTTTGTTTAATAGCCATAAACACTAAAGCCCACCTTGGCCAACCATTCTTCTAGAAACCCCTTTTGAAAAAAAAATCCTTCTAACATCCTTTTGAAAAAAATACAACCATCCCTTTTCTTCTTTTCTCTTGACCCTTATGACATTAAAATGGTACCGAAAAGATACACGAAAAATGCAGTGAATACTCACAGAGGGAAGATAGAGATGTCCCTAAATAGAGTCTGGAGACGTTTGACCAGATAATTAAGGAGCCACTAAGACCTTGTGTTCAAAGGAATATATCCCGACAATAATCAAAAATGGCACGGACAGAAAGGAAACATCAACATTAACCTTAAAGCATATAGGTTAATTTCCCGACACAAAAAAAATGAATTGCATGTTTAGGAACAAACACATGAACGTAAACTGCATCGCATGCATATGAGGTAGGGGCATATGGAAGGGCGTTACACAAAAAAAATGGAATAAATAAAAGAATCATTCCTGTCTTGCATTTTCATTGCATCCATGCATCCATGCATTCTACTTGCTATGGGTTAGAAGGAGTCATCAAGACAAAGTACTCGTAAAAGCTCGATAGCCAAGCATGAGTCGAAGCGGTGACAAATGGAAACCCCAAGTGATTCTATGTGCCCACTAAGCAAAGACATATCAATAGTGGAATAAAATGGAATCGACCGAATAAGCAAGCCCATAAGCATGAAGAGGACATCGAGCCCTACTCCTCAACTGAATTAAGGATGATCCAAGAGAATGCCAAGACCAGGAATGGTTTCCTCACCAAAGCCAAGAGTAGCTTCCAAAATAATACTCATCAATAAAGATTCAACAAATAACATCATGGGAATAGATCCCTCCACCAATGATGACAATAAAGAGCAAAAGTAACATGAAAAAAAAGGCAAGCTTCGTAAATGTTGAAAAAGTTGAAACATTTAGAAAAATAGCAGAAAAAGGAAAGCTTCAAACATGAAAGAGCCGAAGCTAAACACAAATGAAATTTAGAAATACTCACATGGCAGGGGCAACAACAGAATCTCTGTCAGCCATCTACTTCTCTACCTATCAACATAGGGGCACATCAAGCACCTCCTACCCAACTTCTTTGGGGCAACATCTACCACAAATCAAGCAAACTAATGAGGATACCGACAGTTTCCTCAAAATATAACAAAGGTCTGGAAAGACTGTACTCACATCTCAATCCGGTATACGATAAAGCCGTGAAGAAAAGATTTGGAGAAATAGTACTCACATCCCAATTCAGCATACGACAAATCCGTAAGGGAAAGGTCTGGAGAGACTATGCTCACATCCATATACTGACTAAATTGTTTCGCACCATGCATCCACTGCTCACCCGCACGCATGTTGCATTCACTTTGATTACACGTTATTTCATGTTGCACACCACTGTGGTCCCTCTGATACCACTTACACAAATGCTTTGATTGCACTGTCAACTCATGCATGCCAATTTTCTCAGATAATATAGGGAATATTGCACATTTAGTGACGCAAGTCCCCCACGCAATTGCAACAAACACAACAGCTGCACCAACAAGTCACATTCGTATATATGTGACAATTAATTTTTATACTTTATAGTTAAACAAGTCACATTCGTATATATGTGACAATTAATTTTTATACTTTATAGTTAATATGAAATTGTATTTAATAACATATTGGTTTATACCATTCAACTAATAACTCACTTACGAAATGCTATAATCCAATTGATCACTAGTCTAGTTTTGATAATAGTAATTTTGTCAAAACACTCGAGGCCATTAATGAAATATGTACCTCAAAAATAAATCTTTTAAACGACTAATGACCAATTAGCTCAATACCTTAATCGAACCCATATCCAATTTTGATAACATTAATTTTGTCAAAAGACTGGATTTCATTAATGAAATATGTTCCTCAAAAAATAAATCTTTTGAACGAACAAGATGTTCATTATGACATCATTAATGAACACTACTAATTATGTTTAATCTCAAATTACAAAGCTCTTGAGGATGTATTGATCATTAATGAAAATAGTAGTCAGTAATGATATCTAGCTAAAATCAAATTTACTATGTTGGCGGCAAAAGAAAGCAAGAATAAATTATATTCCACAACTAATGTTACAAACATAGCAAATAATCAACAGTCGCCTTCATGGTGGCCTAGACTTTAGGTTTTCTACGTGCCCATGATAATTACTAGCAATCGCTAGTCATTAATTAAGGATGGATAAAAGAAAAAATAAATATCTGAGATAATTAGATGAACTCAGCCTCAAATACAAGTTAGCTATCTGACAATAGAAAATTACATGTTGAATATATGGAAGCAGCAGCTGCATTCACCGCTAACTCTTTCTCCGAGCTATCAAATACCGATGCTCTGCACACATTATAGAATAGCAAAATTGTCAAATTTGTGACCGTTAAACATTGGTAGAAATTCTAGGCAATTTATAATGCATGTCCAAGGTTAATACGGACAAAAATTCAGACAGGAAAAGGTTTAAGTAGAATGCTTCTAAACCTAACAAATATTACTTCATTGGTATATAAGAAACAAATGGGAGGATTATTTTGATCTTATTTATTAGAAACATAAGTCTACTTTTAAATACATTAATTGAGAATGTCTATTTACATTTTTAATTTATTAAAAATTTATTAATGAGTCATCCACTCAGTTTCTATTACTGTGAATGCATGTATTGAGCTACTAACACAATAAATTAGATACTTATTAATTTATAATGTAAATAGATGGCTAGCAATAAATTAAATTGACTTTATCTCTACAATTCCAAATACCGACACTTCCTAGTTTGATGACTTTGATGTCAAACCTAACCAAAATTATCAAGTCCCCAACATTGATAATACATAATTTTGTGACAGGCAATTAACACATTTACCTGGAGTTGTTAACAGAATTTCCCGGCTGTTGTAAACCAAAGGCCGTGCTCCAGTTTACATGTTGTATGCCCTGGTCACATAACAATTGTTTTTCTTTTACTTGATTCAACCAACATTCCTGAAATCATGAACATGCAAAAGTTCAAATTTAGATGAAATAAAAAGCACAAACGTCTTTCCCAGTAACTTTGCATCTTCCTAGGTATTCACCATGGACATGTCTAGTATCCACCATTTCTTGAAATGATGAGACAGTTTATGATAATTACTATTACAAGTACACAGGACCCCAAGCATAGCAGATATGGTCTCAAGATAATATATTCCTTCAGCAAGAATTTTAAATTACAGCCCACAGCCACAATTATGGCTGCCATTACTAACGAATTTTCAAAATTCCAATAATCTTACTGCAACAATAACTGAATATAAAACTATGCCTTTTGCATTTCTCAACCATTCCTACAAAAATGGTTGACTATTTCAAACAGCATTATTAAAGTGTATTAGTTTGTTTCTATAAATCCTGATAGCAGCTGCACTTTTCTCAAGAACCAACAACTCAGAATGGTCACCCAACACAGCAGCTCACGGAATACGGTGCTTGCAGTAGCAAACGCCACTGCAGATGTCTACTTGCAATAGATTGTTTGCAGGAAGGTTTGAAGGTAGCTTATGGTGAATGGTTAAAGTGGAAGAGAAAATAACAAGGACGACAGATTTTCTATCAGGCTTGTCGTTCACTATGGGGCTCCTTTTTGCTACATGACTTGGAACAACTTACAGCGAAAAGGACAAAAAAATAAGGGTAAGAGAAACTAAGCAAAAGATACTACATATCTACTTGAAATGAAGCCATATTCTGAGTTGCTGAAGTGAATGTAGCCATATCAAATAATTTTTAAAAAAATAGTTAATAGTTGATACTTTTCGGACCAGTCATCAACTCAATTAAGATATGGGTCACTTGGCAAAGAGTCACCTGTTGAACCACAAACTATTATTTATTAAAAACTAAATAAAATAAGAAATTCATAACCTCTAAATTTTACACTTCAAAATTAAAAAAAAAAAAAAAATTATAGCTAAAATTTACCAAAAAATCATAGCACAAATTAACTAGTTCATTATTCAAATTAAGAACCACTACCATAACATAAATACCTTATATATAAAAAACAGAAAAATACATATCAAAACATGAAAGCCAAAGTGAAAGCTAAATTAGTAAACAATTAAGATAGAAAAAACTATCTATAGTTAAATACAAATTGATCTCCATTAGCTATTCCCAAATTAGAAACAACAATTCATAAGGAATTGCTGCACTATACACATAATTAGAGATATAATGCTAATTGCTAAAAGTCAGCAATTATCAATGTCTACCACACTTGAACAGTATACATATATATGTATATCTATATATACATATATATGTATATGTATATAAACATATGTATATGTGTGTATACATCAGTGTTGTTAAATGGCAGTTATGGCAGCACCATAACGGCACCATAGCGATATGACGACGGTGGCGGCCGCTTTCTGTTATGGCCGTTTGGCCTCTACATGGCACGGGTCCACCATTTTGCATATGGCAGCCGTTATGGTGGTAACTACGTGGCAGTTTATGGCAGTCATGGCAACCGTTTTGGGTTTTTTTTTTCCTTTTTTCCGGGTTTGGGCCCGGGTTTCTTTTTTGGGTTTGAGCTTTCCATTTTTTCCATTTTCCTGAATAGGTTTGCAGCAAAACCCTAATCCTAAAGTTCTGAAACATTGCCTCCTCCATGCAACGTTAACGGCGCGCCTCCTCCGATGAGTTCTACCACTATCGCTGCCTTTGATGCGACTACCACTGCGCGCGCGATTCTGCTCCGCTTCTTCTCCCTCTGCGCACAATTTTGCTCCGCTTCTTCTCCCTCTGCATGCGATTCTCTCCTTCTCCCTCCGCGCGAAATTCTACTCTGTTGCTTCTCCCTCTGCGCGCAATTCTGCACCTTCTCCCTCCGTGTTTTGCTGTTTCTTTTGCATTGTTTCTTTGTTTTGATGACTATTTAATCCTTTTGTTGGTTAGGAATTTTTGTCTTTTTATGATGACTATTACTAGATTATGAATGCCATGAATTTTAGATTGTTATATTGTTGGTTTTAATATGTGTTTGTAATTTTTCTGTTTTTGCATCATATTATATATATATATATATATATATATATATATATATATATGTGTGTGTGTGTGTCTGCCATGGCAGTATAGCACTTAAAGGTCCTTGCTGCCGCCATATAACCTTAGTGACAACCTTGGTCTACATGTATGTATATATATGTATATGTATATGTTAATGCCCATAATTATATCCGCAAATAGCATAGGCTACCATTACCAATCATGTCAACCAGTTAAAATTTAATGATCCTGAGCATTTGTTCTTCACGTTTATTTGCAAGAAAGCATCAATGAAGAAAAACAATTAATTTAATGCAAGTAAAAATAGGACATACACAACACAATATAACCATAATATCAAACAAAAGACAAGGGAGATTCAATTTTTCAATCATTTTAAGTTTATTTATCTCTTGCAACAGGCAAATGGTAGGGAAAAAGTTCTCTACATAATAATACTAGAAAAACACATTAATTTGATGTCACTTACCAGCAAACAAGAGACTTGCTGGTATCTTAACTAAATCACTACAAAAAGATCAAAGGCTAAGCTAAAAATTTATAATCAACAGTACTAGTCCTAATTCTGATTCTAATTGCTCAAAAAGTTCAAATATACCCCCCTACCCCTCTCCAACAAAGATATATAGTTATATTATCTGCTGTTTGCAGCAAAGGAAGTCAATATATTGCATAAATGTAATTTTCTGCAAGACAAACTCCAAAGCATCCCTTATCCGGAAGGGCATCAAAATCTGGCAACTAAATAAGCTCTCAATGTGTAAATAGATTCACACTAAAGTTTTGATTGCACTACAGCAGCTAAAAATAGAAAAAGGTATTAAACCCATAAACAGCAATATTCTGTCAACAGAAACAAACCCATAAGAAGATAATAAAAATAAAATTCAACACAAATAGTCAAAGGCATCTTACTCATTTTGTCAAAGGAAAAAACCAACATCAAGCATGACTTGAAAATTTTCCAGAAATCAACCAAATTATATTTAGAAAAAAAAATGAATCTGAACTGGGAACTTTAAAGAGGAAAGGACAGAAAATGAGAAATAGAAGTCTTGTAAAGTGTGAAGAAAAAGGGGTTGCAAATCCTATTGTATTTCTGAAGCAAAAACCTGCATTAGAAAATGGGGGAGAAATCACAATTTCCCCCCAAAAACAATCCTAGGGATAGTTGTTTCAACTTTCAAGGGTAAAAAGGGTTCTTGAAGCCTGTATCACGGTGGTGCTGTTATAGTACGTGAAAAGCCACTATTGCAGCTGCTAGTCACAATGGCTGTTAATGAAAATTGCTCTGTTCTATTTGAACCCCATAGTGGCCTAAGACTGCTCTGCTTCGCTACTCCACTATAGCCCACTATTGACTACTATGGCAGCAAAGGCACAAGAATGAAGCTTTGATTTTGGCAAGGGGACAGTGATGATGTCAAAGTTATTGATAATGGATAACGGTTTATAGTGGTGAGCCAAAAATCCTTTATAAACATATGACGGACACCATGACGGTCTATGGCGGACACCATAACGGACAAAAAAAAACAATATATATATACACACAAAAAAAGCAAAAAACTAAATAACCAACAGCAAAACTAAATTAAGAACAACAAAATATCTACTAAAATAGTTAAATATCATGACAATAATACCATAAATCCATAATTCATTAAGTCATAAACATAATTGAAATTGATTAAATTAAAACACAACAAAAAGAGTAGAAAGACAACAAGAGTGCAAGACACATTTTGCTAATCTAATTTTCCTCATCCTCATAATTCTCCTCCTCTTTCTCAATGTAATTATTTTCCTCATTGAAAGCTAGCATAGCCTTCAGCTTCTCCTTCTGAATTGTCAAAATTAATATTTGGCAATTCTTCCTCTAACACCTTACTAATGTCTTCTGAATCTTCTTCAACAACTTGAATCATTTTTCCTTTCCTAGTTGAAGGCCCTCCTTTGCCCCTTTTAGAAACGTTTTGAGATGATGCTCCTTCCACACTTGGAGGATGCTTCCTTTTATGCCTAGTATATATTATAGGCTCTCCAACCCCTAAAGCCCTATAAACATCTCCCTAAGTAAGTGGATCATCTCCATCAAAAACTCTCTCATCTTGAGCTTCATCATCATAATCCCCATCCATCTTTCCAACAAGCCATTCATTACATTCATCAGTATCAATAAGGCTAATGAGATCAACTTCATCCTTAAAGTTGGATCTTCGCTCGAGTGCTTGATTATACTTGACATAGTGCAAGTCATGTAATTTTTTATACTTAAGCCTATTCTTCCTATTAATATGAATTTGTAACATTAAGTTAAATAATTAAACAAATATTATAAGAAAATTTGGAATTAATTATTGACTCTTAAAAAGAAAATTAATTATTTGCTCAAAGACACTCCAATATGTTCACAACAAAATAATTTACAAGTCAAGCCTAATATCTTTATAGCTAGTTGTAAATTGGGGGTTGATGAACCATATGATCTCCACCATTGAGCTACAAAGCCAAAGAAAGTTTGTTAAACACTTAAGCAAATAGTAGAATAGAAGTTTAAAATTATTTAAGGTTTTGTTTCTACCCGATGAAACCTTTTTCCTCATTGATATAGCAACATCACTCCCAAACATTTCTCCTGCAACTTTATAAGTATGTAGCTCCAACATGATTTTATGCTCTACTTGTAAATCTCCCACCAACCTATTGATGCATGCATATAAGCCCGTTATAATCTCACTATCAAATTCTATTTGAGGGTTGTCATAAAACAACTCTAGATTCAAAAAATGACCAGCCGAATGTAATGAATGATGAAGCTGAACATTTTATCTTCTATCAACAATTTCAAACACTACTTTATATTTGGCCTCATTGTTATTAAAAGACTTCATAAAATATTCCTTTGTCGTATCCATAGCTTCATATATATAGCCCATAGTTGGCTTTCTCTCACTATCAACAAGCCTAAGTAGATTCACAAGAGGAACCATGACTTTAAGTATATACACCACATTCCTCCAAAAAGAAGGCATTAATACAGTTTTACTTGCTTCTCTTCCTTTTACTTCCTTTGACAACTTGTTTGAATTCCACTCATCAGAAACAAACATCTTTCTTAAATTTGATTTTTTTTTTGTGGATCCTTTCCAAGGAAAGAAAAGAGGTTGCAAATTGAGTCACTGCATGCCTCACTAGCTCCCTTTTGTTTGTATAAGATCTTAACAAACTTAAAGTGTTTGAATGGCTATAAATAAATCCAAACAAGAAAGATTATCCATTGAATTGTCTTCTTAATATTAGGAAGCTTTCCAATGTCCTCCAACATTAAATCTATGCAATGTGCTGCACATGGAGTCCAACAAATTTTGGGTTTTTTTCCTCCAACATCCTTCCAGCAAAAACATAGTTACTTCTGTTGTTTGTGATGACTTGGACAACTTTTTCCTCTCCGATCTCCTCTACAATAGATCAAGTAACTCCAATAACTTATCTCCAGTTTTCACAAAATTAGAACCATCAACAAATTTGATAAACATGTCCCTACAAAAGAATTCACCAAAAAAGTAATTATGCATCTTTTTTTCTTTTTCGTCCAAGCATCTGACACAATAGAACATCCAAAACTAGCTCATTGTTGTTTTGACTCTTTATCAAATTATCGGTATACTTCACCTCCTTTTGGAGAAGTGGAACTCTTATCTCATGATAAGATGGAGGTCACAAATATAGTCCAAAAGACTCAATAGCTGCAACCATGTCATGGAAGCTCTCCAATTTAACCATGTTAAATGATAATCGAACTTGATACCAAAACTGGGCTATATATTGGTGGACCCTTGCTATAGCTTCATTGCTATTTTTGGTCGTTTACAAAAAAGGTCAATAGGACCCTTTTTCATAGCAACCTTCTTACTCTCATTGGCGCCAAGTGTTTCAGCTTCTAGTTTTCTAAAATCTCCCTCCAATGTATAATCTTCACCGTCAAGCGTCACATCTTCCATTACTCTTTGGCATGCCTCACTTTCTTTCATCTTCTTATTTTTCTCAAGTGCCAACAACTCATCTCTAACCTCCTTGGGACAACTTTGACAAGGTGCTACATTTTCCTTCTTTCCCATTAGATGTTGCTTTCATCTTGTAATTCCTCCTTTCATGATTTTTTGACAATACTTACAAATAATTTAATTGGTATCATTCTCTTTGATAGGATGACAATGTTTCCATCCTATATTTGTTCTCTTGACATAGTTTGAGGATGTTTGACTTTAAGGAGGATTGCTAGACATTGTCCAAAAAATAAGGATAAGAACAATAATAAAATAGGAATTCAATGTTAGTCTTGGAATTTAGAACAAAATAAGAATTTAAATTGACCCATCTGGTAGAAGAATTAGGATAAAAAAAATGTTGTTGTAGATGCAACAACGGACATATATTAAGAAAGGAGTAAGAAAAACTAAAGGAAGGAGGATTAAAAACAAAAAATTGTTCAAATTTTAAGTTTTGGTTATGCTTGTCGGAGTTGCTCGTCAGAGTGTTGGGCCACCACAATTCAAGTCGTCAACCAGAAAGGTGACTAGGGAATGGTGGGTGACGGTGAACGAAGGTGACCGAGGATGGTTTTGACGTTCAGTACGCACGTCTTATGAGTGTCATTCACTTTTGTGGTTGCTTGTCGGAGTGTTGGGCCATCATGGTTCAGGTCGCTGACCAAAAAGGTGACCAATGAGTGGTGAGCTAAGGTGAAGGAACGTCACCAAAGATGAATTCGAGGTCGTGTGTCATGCATTTGGTTGGCTGTCGCAATTTGTGTGGGTGGCTCTCAAACCCCAAAATCCTAAAGGGGCACTCAAATGGGCCTGGGTCAAAGCCCAAAATTGACTCCCTAAACCCTAAACATGTTGTGACCGCCATGTGCATCTTAACGTCATGAGAACCATAAAAACTATGGCGCTCACCATGGCGGAAATGGTGGGGCGGCACCACAAATTGCCATATGGCGGATGGCGATGAGGCCTAAAACCGCCCTGCCATATGGTTATAATGACATTATAATCGTTATTCAACAACATTGGATGATGCTAAAAGGGGGAGCATTCTATGTCTATATGATATTGTAATGGCTAGCAAGATGGTGGCTTTCATTTCAATCCTTTTTAATATATGCGTGACCCAATCTAGTTATAGAAGCCAGTCGTGACTTCAATAGTTCAATTTAATATGAAAATTGACACAGCCACACCATTTATACAACATTTTGGATCCATCAACCAACTTTTGAACTGGTTATATCATCGGATTTGGGTCAGACCGATTCAAACAACCAGTCTGAGCCACTTTTGATAACATTGGTCTTAGTTGCATTATAGTCATATTGGGTAATTTGAAAAAAAGGAAATAATGGATACTTTTTTAATACTTATCAATACATATTGGACACATTCATATCAAATATATGTTGGCCACTGATACTTTTGCAATTTTTAAGTATTTAGGCTTATTATTTTTAATTTTTGTTTCCATTTTAGTGAACATGTTCTCTCATTAATAATGACAGAAATGCTATCTAGTTTTCCTTCTATTTTTGTGAAGTTTTGTAAGGTAAATAGTGAGAACAAGAAAATGTTTTCATCATTTCCTTCATTAAACCTTACAACAACAAACATAATGAAAAACATGGCAGCATTTTATAATTCCTATTGAAAACTTGCTAACTTAAAACATAAATAGAAAACAAACGAACCACTACCTTACTTTCTTGTATGTACCCCTATCCCACCACCTATAATTTCTCTTATATTATAGCAATTTCCTGACCTAAAAATTATAAAATAAGCCTTAAGACTATTAAAATAAAATGTTGTGTTTCTGCACTCACAAGTTGTTTTTCCTCTTCTGAAAGTGCTTCATCCATATGATCAAACAAAGCAGTCCATCTTGCACGATGCAAATCTGCTATTTTGCTAGCAGGAAGTCCCGCAGTCATTTTCATATTGTGAGGATCATAATCTTGGTTATTTGCAAATTCCTTTGATAAAAGGAAAGGCAACTCAGTAGTGATTACAGAACGAACTCTCCTCCTACTACGACGCAAGGCTGGGAAATGTAGAAAAAAGTACGAAAATCACATGTAAGCAATTTCCCTAAAAAAACCAGGCCAAACGAAGTAAATATGGCATTACCTGAAAGACGACCTTTGATGTCTTGATGTAGAAGCTCCAACCATTGAGAAGCAACAGTAGCAGCTGAAAAAATAGAAGCAACCATATCAGCAAAGACTCAAAGAAGCACCTATCTTAAGGCAATTTTTCTTTAGTATCCCAATCCATCCGATTAAGATTTGATAAGATGAAAGTGTGATACACTGACTGAACAACTTCGTATCATACCAAATGCACCATATCTACAACAGTGTAGTGTAAAAAATTAATTCCCAAACACATCAGTTAATTGCTAGATTTCAAACTCCAAAGAGAATAAAAGAATTGATCCCTTCCGTCCAGCTATGCATTACGTGAAATGCTTTAAAGACAATCATAAAAGGAGAAAAACAACTAAAACTGAAAAAAAATAAATAAATAAAGCATAGGCATGAGGGAAATGGTTACGAGCCTTTAAGGGAAAGAGATGAA